AGGGACTCAAAATACTTGAGCCATCACCTGCAGCCTTTTGAGTTGTGCATTAGCAGGAAGCCGGGATTGGGAGCAGAGCCAGGACCCCCAAAACAGGTTCTCTGATAGGGCATGCTGGCATCCTGAGTGATGTCTTCACCACCCTGGCAAACGCTCGCCCCCGGGTTGGGGTTTAACTGGCTGAGAGGAGTGACGGGGGTGGGAGTGAGTGGGAGTGACACGGGAGATGCTTATGAGTGTGGGTTTCTGAGCATGTTTGAGAGCATAGGATGGTAGTTGGAGAAGGGTCATGCACGTAAGTGTGTTTGTGTGCGTGTGTAGCAGTTCTGCTTCCTTTAGAGGTTAACACTGGCTCTGTTCTGTTCAGCACCCCCATACAGTCACCACCTTGAAGTTGGTATTTTTAGGGGCACGCTCAACTCACAGGTGCTTCTGGGGACTGCTGCCGCATCCCAGCTCAGGGGCCAATAGAGGGCAGTCCTCCCACACAGAGGCCAGAGGCGGCCAGGGGAGCCCCGGATGGCGGAGTTCAATAGGAGCTCCAGGGATGTCCAACAGCGACAAAACCGACGGCTCTTCCGGATCTTGGCCCTAGTCAGTAAGCCGGAGCCTCAGGTGGATCTTCTTGGCTAAGTTTAGGGCGACAGCTGGGCCAGATACTCAACCTTGTCAGGCTCCATTATTTGCTTTGTGGGAGGTGGTCTCCTTTCTGGTGCTCAAGCCCTATGGGAAAGTCCTCCTGTGACAGGAGGCTTTGTTCTGCAGGGGAGGTGGAATTGCAAAGAGGTCTAAGTGGGCAGCTGTGCTTAGGGACTGGATAGTCCTATGGATGCTGTCAAGTCCTATGGTCAGGGGATGGTTGTGTAGGAGCTAAGGCATGTGACATAAAAGCAAGTGTGTTCTCTTATGGTAGGAGGTTGGGGAGCAGAGAGCTACCTTTGGGGCTCAGGACAGGGTACCCCTCTGAGTTTACCTTGCTGACCATGCGTGATCACCACACTCACCCGGGTTCTTTATGGGTTTGGAATGTTCTTTCAGCTTACGTGTTGATAGTGCGCTACGAATTGGCTTTCTCCTTCCCCTCCTACCTGTGGGGGTCACCTATGGCTCTGCATGCATAGTGACACACACGCACCCATCATCAGTGGCCACATGAATGAAGGGGAGGACAGGAGACTTCCAGATGTAGCAGGGAAGGCTTGAATTTCCTGAAAAGTCGATGCTAGCGACACGGGTCTCCTTTGTGCGAAAGGAGTGGAACACTCAGGAGCAGGTGGAAGGGATAGAGCGACTAAGATCAAACCTACAAGTTGAAGGCTGCTGGCAGTGCCTGCCCTGAACTGCCTTCTATCCAGAGGGTAGGACTCCTGGGGCCGGGGGGAAGTCCCTTTCCCAACCTTTTTCTCATTATGTGCTGAGGTCCCTGGCATTGCCCCAGGCTGGAGTCTGGGGGAAGAATTCTGGGGCGCTCGGCCATAAGGGAGTTGATCACTGGATAACTGCCCCAGCCTGGTGTCTCATTAAGAAAAAAAAAAAATCCTTGCAAAGTGAAAATTTTTTTTCCATCCCCCTTTCCACTTTTTGTTTTGCCCCACTTTTTTTTTTTTTTTTGCGCCTCAGCTGCTGCTGGTTCTTGGGAGCCTGCATTGTTTTGCGGTTTTTGAGTTGACTTGCTTAAATAATAAACCCACCCTCTTGTACAGGATTAAGCAATTAGGAAATCAATCAATCAATTGGTGTCAGCTGCTGGCAGAGGCCAGTGAAAAGCCCCTTCGCCCTTTCCCATCCTTTAAACCCGCTGAGGCCCTGGGCCGTGCGGGCGGTGGAGGTGGCGGGAAGCCTGGAGCTGCTTTGGCTTTCCTTTCAGGGCCCCCAGGGGCTGGGACAAATCCAGGAAGGGAGAAGGAGGCTGGGCAGACAGCAGCTCCGAACCGTGCCTTCGCCTTGCCAGGCTGGGAGTTCCTGGCCTCAGCTCCAAGACCGAGGAGGCTAGCCAGGACGGTTGGGACGTGGATGCCAATTACAGAGCTATTGGTTCGCTGGACTGGACTGTGGAGATGGAAACCAAGGAGCTGGAGAGACGCTGAATGAGCCCTGGAAAATCTCACCAACCTGTCACCTGCCAGGCGGTTTCCCCACCACTGAGGGCCAGAGCTCACAGTCACCAGGCGGCTGTTAGACCACAATTAGCCTGAACGGCCAGGCTAGCCAGAGTCCATGGAGGTGGGACCCCGAGAATAGTCATCTTGGTGTGCCCGTTGGCTGGGGTCAAGGCCTCTCCCAGGCCCAGACTGGGCAGTGTCCAGGTCAGGAGAGGGAACTTCACAGATCCCTTTATCGGTGGTGGTGGTGGCAGCGTGACAGTTTTCTCTCTAGCAGAAGTGACTGCGCTGAAGAGCCTGGACTGGCTGGGGGAAGAACTGGGATAAATTGTGTGTGCTTTCTCCTGAGAAGGGCAAAGAACCGCACTGTGTAGAGGAAACACAAGAGCTTTCTTATGAACACCTGGGCTCACTGCACCACCAGGCCGGCTCCTGTTCTATGGGCACTTTGAAGGGAGTTGTTGGAAAGGAGAAGGTCCCAACTGGCACCTAGGAAGCTCCGGACCTGCCCCCAGCCGTCCTGCCTCCTGGAGGTGATGCCGCTGCTGGAACCTTCAAAGGGCGCCCAGCAACCTGCGCTCCTTCCCCGGCTCCACCCGCACAGCTGCGGAGTCCCCTCCTCCTGGCAGTACACCCATGTCCTGCTCCCTGTGGCAGTCGGGGAGGCTCCTGGGCACCCACCCCTGCTGAGGAGGTGTCAGGATTTTTTTTTTTTTCTGGTGGCACAGTACTTGGTGCTTCCATCATTCCCCAAGAGAAGTCGGGGCAGATAGCTTGTTGGCCAAGGAAATAGGTAACCTTCCCATTCCATGCCTACTGGGCTTCCCACACGAGGCCTGAACAGGCCTCTGTGTAAACCAGGAGGGCGCTGGCTGACTCAGGTGGGCGTGGGGGTCATTTGTTCGTGGGTGGAGAGCCAGTTGGGGTAGGATGGCAAGGTCTGGCTAGGCTTTCTGGGATGGCGAGGGTGGCTCGGCTCCCACTCAGGGAGTGCAAAGTGAAACTGGAGGTGGAGGTAGAGGGGCTGGCGTGGGGAGTCCACAGATCCCAGGGCTGCTCGTCCAGGCTGAGGCCGCTTCTTGCTTGGCCGGGAAGAGCAGTTGGGTTGTACCCGTGGAATGGCTGGCCGACTCAAAATCTCGTGTGGTGTCCTTGGCCCTGGTCTGTCCACAGCAGGGGCACAAGCCCTGGCTTCCCCTTTCCTAATGGGACAGGGCACCCTTGAGACACAGCCACAGCTCAAGTAGCAGGCAGTCGTGACACTGGCCTGGAACGGCCACCTTCCTTGCCAGTTCTGTGGTGCCAGGCATTAGGGCAGGTGTACCATGGTACCCTTTCCCTTCCCTCCAAGCCCACCCTGCCCGGTAAAGAGGACAGGACACAGCCCTGGGGTACATGTTTATGCGAGTAATAAAATATTTACTATAACATAAATATAAAGGGAACTTCCCAGTCTACATTATTATTTTGCAATAAAGATACAAAGAAGATGCACCAAAAGATGGTTCCAAAAGAAAAACAAATCATAAAAATAACAAACATTTAGATCCAACCTGTAATGAACACAAGAAATAGAGAAGGGGGAAGCCCCAAACACATTCAGAAAATAAATAGCGATGGGTCAGAAACTCAGAAATCATGGGCAAATACCTCTTGCTGAGGAGTTGGTGTAGAAAATTCTGGAGGATGGGGAAAGAGGGCAACCCGGAAAACCAAAAATAAAAACCAAGCACAAAAGGTTTCTTCTCCCCGCCAGTGTGTACATATCTCACATATTTACACGGTTTTCACCGGGGCAGCTGCCCTTGGGTGCTTCTGCCCCTCGGCCTGCCCCAAGCAGCCCGCACTCTGCACTCTGGGCGGGCAGCGCAGGGAGCAGAAGGGGAAAGCCCCAGGGAATCAGGCAGAAGGTTCTACAGCTGGTTTAAAAAAAAGAAAAAAAAAAGGAAAAAAACCCCACCACTTCCAACTTTTCCAAGTTGTCCGTGCCTGTCGGCCCCAGGGAGGCCACGGCCCCGCAGGCAGCAGGGGCCCCCAGCTGCTGAGGCCAGGGCAGAAGCGCAGACCCCCTCCGGCTCTGGCCGGGGCACCACTAAGCTCGGATAAAACGAAACGAAAAAGGAGCGCTCGATTTTTTTTTGTTAGTTTTTTTGTTTGTTTTGTTTTGCCTTTTTTTTTTGTTTTTTGTTTTTTGTTTTTTTCGAAGAAGGGGAATGTAGGGGAAGACAGGGGTGAAATAAATTAGGCTAGATTAAAGCTTTGGCTATTTCCTGCTTTTATACAGACTCGGCTCTCGTGGCCTCCCCTCCGGGGCCCCGATAAATACAGTATACAGCGATTTAAATTAAGGGCGCGGGCGGAGTTAGGACCCCAGGAGCCGAGAGGCTCCACGAATAAATAAAAACCGTACAAAAAAAAAAAAAAACACCCCCAAAACAAAAACCACCCCACAAACAAAAAAACCCAGGCCCGGGGAAAGGGTGGGGTGCATACTTCTGGGGGCGAAGAGGATAGGAGCGCGAAGTGACAGCTCCCACCCTTGGCCCGTAGGCTCGGGAGTCGCGCGCCCTGCCGACGACTCCCCTCTCTCCCGGGGAACCCCTAACCCCGCACCGCGTTACCTGTCGCTGTGGGGAGGCCGCTGCCAGGATCCGGCCCCGAACGGCCCCGGGGGCGGGGGGAGGTCGGGGATGGGCAGGGGCGGGGGGCGTCAATGGGGACAGGGGCGGGAAGCCGGCGGCGGGCAGGAGGGCCAGGGTGGAGCGGGCGTGTTCCGGGTCTTGTCTCCTCTCTCTCCCGGGGCTCGGGCGACGCAGCCTGTGGCCCGTCTTCGCCTCTCGCCGCCGGCCGGAGAGGGTCATCTGGGTGTTTGGTTTTGTTCGAAAGTTTCTGGGCTTCTTGTAAAATCCAAAAGCAACCGAAACAGCAACAACAAAAAGAATCCGGTCGGCCGCGCTCGCGCTCAGGCGCGCACGCGTCGGCGGGGGGCCCAGCCCGCGGGGGTCACTGCACCGAGCCGGGCAGTGTGTGGTGGTGATGGTGGTGCAGCGCTGCCGGCGGGGGCGGCGGGGGCGCCGAGGGCGGCGACGCACCGCCCCCGCCCGGCCCCAGCTCCCCGGGCGCGTAAACGTCGTCCATGGGCGGGTGGCCCGCGCCGGCTGCGGGGGTCATGCGCTTCTCCTTCTGCCGCCGGTTGCAGAACCAGACGCGCACCACCTCCTTCTCCAGCTGCAGGCTGTCGGCCAGGCCCGTGATCTCGTGCGCCGAGGGCTTGGGGCACTTGAGAAAGTGGCTCTCCAGGGCGCCTTTGACCCCCACCTCGATGGACGTACGCTTCTTGCGTTTGCGGCCCTGCGCCGCGATCTTGTCCAGGTTGGTGGGGCTGCCGCTGGACGAGTCGGTCTCCTCCAGCCACTTGTTGAGCAGCGGCTTGAGCTTGCACATGTTCTTGAAGCTCAGCTGCAGGGCCTCGAAGCGGCAGATGGTGGTCTGCGAGAACACGTTACCGTACAGCGTGCCCAGCGCCAGCCCCACGTCGGCCTGCGTGAAGCCCAGCTTGATGCGCCGCTGCTTGAACTGCTTGGCAAACTGCTCCAGGTCGTCCGAGCTGGGCGCATCCTCGTCCGAGTGCTCGCCCACCGACGAGCCGCCGCCCGTGCCTGGGTGCAGGTGCGCCGCCGCCGCGTGCAGGCCGCCTGCGTGTGCGTGTCCGTGTGCGTGTCCGTGTGCGCCCAGGTGCGGCGGCGGCGACGGCTCCAGTTGAGCCTCGTGGCCGTCCTCGTGCAGCGCGTGGTGCAGGCCCGGCCCCGCGCCGCCACCGCCCGCCGCCAGCATCCCGGCCAGGCCGCCGCCGCCGCCCCCCGGGTAGGCCGCCTGTGCGTACAGCCCGAGCGGCTGGGGCTGGTGACCCCCGCCGGCCCCGGGCGACGGCGACATGGACGGGCCCAAGTGGTGCGCCGCGCCGCCCTGCGCCCATGCCGCGCCCGCGTGGGCCGCCCCCTGGTGCACCAGGCGCGCGTGGAAACCTCCTCCTCCGCCGCCGCCACCGCCGCCGTCGTCTGCTCGGCCGGTGCCGCCGCCGCCCGCCTTGCCGTGTTCCAGGTGCGGGCCGCCGGCCCAGTCGCCACCGCCGCCTCCTCCCGTGGGTAGCCACTGAGGGTGCGCTAGGCCCACGGGGTGGCCCGCGCCCGCGCCCAGCCACTCGTGGTGCATCAGCTTCTGCACTTCGCGGTACGCGGCCCCCGCGTGCAGCCGCTCGGCGGCCGCCGCCGCCGCCGCTGCCGCCGCGGCGTCCGGGTGCATGAGCGGCCCGGTGCCCCCGGTTCCGCCTCCGGGGCCCCGCGGCAGGTACTGCGCGGTGGTGGCCATGCCGCCCCGCGCCCTGCCCTGCGCCGCGCCGCCGCCGCCGCCGCCGCTGCCGCCGCTCCGCTCCGTCTGCGGGCCCCGCCGCCGCGCTCCGCCGGCTTAAAGCCCCGACCCGCTCGGCGCTCCGGAGCCCCACCCCGACCGCCGCCCATTGGCTGCCCGCGGAGCCGCCTCCCGCCCCCCGGCCTCGGCCCCCGCCCCCCGCGCCCGCCCGCCGCCGGCCCGGGCCGCCCGGAGCTCGCCATTGGGTCTCGCTTTCGGGGTCCCGCGCGCCGACCGTGTTGATTGGCCGCTGGGGCTTCATTCAGGGTCTCCCCCTCCCCTCCTTCCTGTCCGCGTACACATTCACGCCCCGGGGGCGCGGCCGCCACGTGGGGAGTGGCGCGGGGGAGGCACTGGGACCGCGCCCCCTCTCGTCCTGCATGCGTGGGTCCCGTTTCCCCAGCCGCCCCCAGCACCCTTCCCTACCTTGGGCGCAGGAGACTCCGAGCTCGGCCGGTACCCACATTCCACGCGAGCGGAATTCCCACCCGCGTCCCACCAGGGAGGCCAGAGGCGGCGGCGGGAATTGCGGGCTCCGGGAGGCGCTCGGGATCCGAGAAGCGACTGAGTCCTGCGCTCCTGCCTCCGCAGTGCCGCGGCCGGCGGGCTGGGATTCCTGCGGGCTCCGCGGCTGCGGGCGCGCCAAGTGGCGCGGGATCCTGGCGTAGCTGCTCACCTCGCCCGCCTCGCCTCCCCGCCCGCCGCTTGCAGCGCGCGCAGACGTCTCCAAACGTGCCCGCCGGGCGCGTCTCGGTTCTTTCCCCCTCATTTTCCTCTAGACCCAGCGTCACAGCTGCGCCGACCTCTGTGGCCTTGAGGGTGCTTAGGGGCACGGGCCGAGACGGCCATTCCTTCTGCCTGCACCACGGGCCCAAGGTGAGTTACGCGCAAGGCGGCACTGGGGTCGGGACGGCCGGGTGGCCAGCGGTGTTTTACCGGAGATGCGGTTGCTTGCAATGCAGCCTCCTGCCGGGGGTCTTGGGGTGGGGTGTGTGTGGAGAGGATCTCCAGGTGGAGCCTGCAGCCTTCTAGCTTCTCTCTTTTTCGGCTTGAAAAGCTCTTGGACCGTGGGCATGATGAGGAGCAGGCTTGGGGAAGCTTGCTTTACGGTACGGATAGGATGGAGTCTGGTGAGGGATGCTGGCCCTTGGGGAAGCGGGCCTGCAGGGCGGGAGCTGTCCAGCCTCGCGTGGAGGGCCTTGTGGGACAGGGAGCTGGGGGGTTGGCTCTCCTTGCCCCAGCTCTTTGCGACTCTGGAAGGATGCTCAATGGAGTAGGGCTTATGCCTCTCGATTCTGCATTGGAACGCAGGCTGAGTGGGGGCGGGGGTGAGGGAGAGCCTTACCCTAGGGAGAGACCCTGAGTCTTGGGTTCCAGGGAATCTTCTAGCTGGCCGTCCTCTCCTTGAGCTTGCTTCTCACATGGATTCCTAGCTGCCAGGGCCCTGGGCTCATCTGTGACAGAACTGAGCTGGGGTGGGGAGACCTCACTAGGGCCTACCTAGGTGGGTGAAGAGGAGTGATGGGGGGCTTGGTGGCAGGTACTGCAGTGGAGATGATCCCAAGGGCCGTCTGGGACAGAGGCTGAGCTCAGCTGAGCCTTGAAGGCCCCAGGACCCGGGGAGCAGAGTCCTTGTCTGGCTGTTGGACACTGTCCTCAGCAGGCTCCTTAGGTCTCACTCCAGCTGCAAGGGCTGGGATGGAGTCCTGTGTCTCGACCCTGCTGGGGCTGCTGCTGGGTGTCCTTGGACTGTGGCCCAGGAAGGAGTCACCTTGAAGTCCTGGTGGCCCCACTCGTCTACCTTCTGGCACCCCCTCCTCCCCAGATTCAGCTGATGGTCCTGAAGAGAAGTCCCCTTTCGGGCCAGCCCTAGGTGACACTCAAGTTCAGGCTCCCCGGGGGGAAGGTGACTGCTGTAGTCTCTCCAGCCTTTGGCTTTCCTTCCTGAAACATAGAACAGTGCCCTGGGCTGCGCACCTGCCTTCCCAAGCTAGTTCAGACAGACAGCGAGGAAAAGCTCTCAGCAAAGGCTTCTGCACAGCTAGCTTCTGTTCTTAGTGTCTGGTGCGTGAGCAAGAAACGTGCCTCAGCAGCGAAATCTCCAGGTCCTCATGGGTGGCAGTTTGGGCAAGCTCCAGCTCTGATGGTTCGGATCTGTCCAAATTCCAGTAGGCAGAAGTATGTCTGAGTGGTGGGCATGTGTTGCCACGTTAGCTGTGGGAATAGCCGCTCAGGCTTGGGGCGCAGGAACCCACAGGCATGGAGCTTGAGCAGGGACTGTCATCACCTTACCTGTGCTTGTCAGCCCTGGGAGAAGCACTTAGGTCTTCATTGTCACGCCTTGCGCCTTGCCCAGACGCAGGCCCCGTGACTTCCCACCCGTCATGGTTCTCCCCGCTGCACAGGAGGATGCCTGTGCTTCCACGAACACAACAGAAAGCGCCCGCTTTCCACCCTGCCACCTTGGTCACTCTTGCTGGCAGGCAAGGACCTGCTGAGGCCTCTGGAATTGCATCCCCAGATCTGTGCTAGATCTGAAGTATCTGCATTGAGGTCCCAACCAGCACTTCAGGTCACCAGCAGCTTGTCACTCAGCAGATCTCAGTTCCCCGTTAGCATCCCTGTGGCTTTCTGAGAATGACTCTGCGTCCATTTCTTTAACATCGAGCAGGGACAGCACTGCCTGCTCCTAGGCTCTGGGGGCATGTAGTACTGACATGGCCTTTCAGCAGGATTCACTGTCATTGGGGTGAGCTGCCTTGTGAAATAAAGAGAGGCAGAATTTCATTCTGTGCTGTGGATGGCAGAGCCCCCTGTGATGACACTAAGTAACATGTTCTTGGGTGCGAGAGTTACATTTTGCCCCAGGAAGTTTCTGTCTCCTCCTCCCTCTTGAGGCTGGAGATTCTGTAAAAGGACATTGTGGATGTGACATGGCCATTGGTGGACACCTGCAGTAGAGTGGCCGTTCTGGCCTGGAAGCACCCTGCCTTTACATCCACTGGGGAGGAATTGTCCTCAGACCCCCAGCTCACAGACACAGGTGTACACAGCAGGCTGGACACCCACCTCGTTCATGCAGACATAGAAGGGTGGGGTGTGTGCCAGCAGGTGTTCTTTCACTCCCCCGCTCACCCGTAAGCAAGCATAAGCAAGCAGTGTGGCATAGGGAGGGACAATAGAGCTTCCTGATAGTTCCAGATTCCCAAATGGACTTGCATGCTCAGGCTGAATGTTCCTGGTCACACTAAGCAATACCTTGCGATACACCCCGGGCGTGGGTACAGAAGCCCTGTGTGGGCCAACGTAGGCCTGCGTAGGCATTTCTTCCTGGATGCCTGCTGAGTAACATGGGACCTCTAGCGTCTTGGGATCAGAGACGCGGAGACTCCCTCGACACCGAGGCACACCTTGGTGTCCGCACACAGATACAGTTGGCGGGGGCACTGCCACACAGATGCACAAAGAGGCCCATCCCGCCACGTGGTGTGGAAGCTGACAGCTCTCTGGGATCCTGCACAAAGAGAGAGCAGAGGAACAGGCTGGACCCCACGTGGATGCAGTTCAGCAGCATCAGCAGCACTATTTTGGGGGTGCCAGGGAGGCCCCATTTCTTATTTTCGCCCCACTCTCAAAGTCTGTGGTGGGCAGCTCCCAGCCAGACCGTGGCTCTGAGGCCTCTCTCCCCAGCGGGGGACCCTGGCCAGCCCGCCCCCAGGCAGGCTCTGCACGGCTTTCCCAGAGCCCCACGGCCTCCTCCAGGCTCTGGAGTGTGACCAAGCGCCTGCTCATTTGACACAGGTCACTGAGCCTCCAGCAGATGGGGCCCTCACTGTGGGGGGTCGCGGAGCCCGAGGGGCTGTGTGTGTGTGTGTGTGTTGGGGGGTGGTGAGAGGTGGGAGGGGGAGTGAGAGGGGCTCTGCAGGGAGGAAGGCAACTGAACAAGTGCCAGCCCTATATATATGTTGTCTCTTTCTGCAGAGGCCTGGGTCACAGACATAAACCCAGTCGCTGGAGACACAGATGTGGGTTTGTCTTGCTGTATGCGCGCACACACACATATGAGGCAGGGCCCCTCAGTATCCTTGGGTTCCCCTGTGCATTGTACTGTCCCACACACACATTGCTCAGGCTGGGGAGTAATCACAGTGGCTCATGGAGCAGGCTTGGGGAGGACAGAGCGACACGTGTCTGTTCAGCTTCCCCTGGGCCACGTGACACTGGCTACTTTCTGCTCTGGTCTCTGTTCTGTGTATTCCTCCCCCGACCCATCCCGCCGTCTCACCGCCATGTCTCTGGTCAGCTGGTCTGTGGGATTGAAGTCGAGGAAGTGCTGGGGGCAGTCAGTGTCTGGGACACTGTATCTGAGTTCCTTGCAGAAAAGTAAAGAGAGGTGGGGTCTTGCGCTTAGGCCTGCCACGTACTTTGAGTCTTTGTGTGATCTTGGCTGGGCTGTGGATGGCTCCCATTATTTGCTTCTCTTTTCTTGAGCTTGTTTCTTGGGCCCTTGTGTTTGTGTTTTCCCAGGCCTGGCTTGGGCATCCAGCGTCCTGGGTCAGGCCTGTCGGGAGGATGCTTGGCTAGGCTAAGCCTCCGTGACCATCCATCTCCTTGTCTGTCAGCTGGGCTGCTGGAGAAAGTAGGGGTGAAATCATTGCCCTGGGGTGGGGGGACAGGAGGTGAGGGAGACGGGGAAAGAGAAAGAAAGCAATGGCTGGGTTTCTCTCCGTGACTGAGCTCTCCCTGGGTGAGTAAGAGGCTGGGTGAGCAGGAGGGGACCTGCCTGCTCCCACAACCAGTTCTTACAGAAGGGTGTCAGGTGCGACCACACCCATCGGGGCTTGTTGCCCTGCTCATTCTGAGCTGCTCTGGGGATTGGTTGGCATGGAGGAGGCTAGCGGGGGCCCTGGCTGCCCCAGATCTCTAGTCTTGGGAGGTGGTGGGAGGCGGGGTGCCTGCGGTGGGTGGTTAGCCAGGCAGGTGTGTGAAGCGCTGGCTGCACCGACCTGACGCTCCCCCTGCACGG